TAAAGGATTCTATGATTCTAAATGACCTGATTCCTTGTTTTTCCTTTTTTTCTTCTACTATTCTGTTAAATTATGTTTAAGGGGTGTGTGTGTGGGTGTGTGTGCATGCATGTGTGCATGCAACTGTTATTCAGTCCTCAGTCCTGTTCCCAGGCAATGTGCGTCCAGGACTCAGCAATCTAAAATTCAATCCATGGCATATACTGGGTAGTCACAGCAATGCAGAAACTCAGCAATATGTAAGTGCATTGAGTTAATCTTTGTTTTTATAGTGTTAGAAGGGCTGCTTGTGGAACAGTAGCTGGATGTTTTTAGGACCTACTACAGTTAGCTTCAAGAATTTAGCATTCTCTATAGTCTTTCTAAGTGCATTTTCATTCAGCCATGCTATTTTCATAACCAAGATAACAATTCCTAAGTCAAAAAAGAGGACCTGTTATGTTCATAGAAGCAGGTAAGTGAGGTACAAATTCATGCTGACTACTACTAGACTGAAGCAACTATCACACAGGTCTTCAGACATGCTTTGCACACACAGGTCTCCATGCTGTTGTAAGGCAGGATTTAAACCAATGATAATATAAATTCAAACAATATTGCTGGTTTCCTACACAATGTCCTAATGTTAACAATATATTATTTTCATTTTTGTGACAGTGGTAAATGAGAAACAGTAAGGACAAAGAACTTTTTAGCATTGTAAAAAACCTGGTAGCCTACCAGTTAATGTTAAGCTGGGTGAATAGGCCTTACTTTATACATAGTGCTGCTCTGCTAGCAAGCCTTTTTTTCTTATTATTACATTTCAGAAAACTTCAATGACAACTAACAGGAATCTGACCATCTTATGCTTGAAAAAACAGTAGTTTTTGCCAAGGCTAGAAGATGAAATCCTAAGATGAAAAGTGACTAAATAAGGACACATTGTATAAAGGTAAGCCCAGCGAGTTTGCAATATTTAATTTTGAATACAGAGTATTTATCTGACCAACCTTGAAGTCTGGAGGCACACCACCAACATAGAAGACAGCATTGTCAGGTTCCAAATTCAGGAGAGAGCCAGGACCAAGAACCTCTCCCTTTTTGATGAATTTTTCTTCAGCTGTGCTACTAAGACTGGGCAGAGTTAAAAACATTTTGCCGTGTCTTCCAATCCTGCAGGAGGGAATTGTAACAGAAGAGAGTTTCATGTTGGCTAGACTTAAAAAAGAATAAGCAAGTTTCCAGCTGCAGGCATAATTTCTATTCCTCACTAGTAGACTGGTACTCTGAGGGACAAGAGGGAGAGAAGCTTCACACACTTCCCACCCCCTCTGTGGTTCATTGGGTCCTGACTCTTTAGAGGCAAAGAGAATTTCCATTTGTTTCAGCAGGACTGGAACAAGGGACTTGACTCCTGATGAGCAGTTCTGACAGCTTTTTCTGTTTGATTTTTTCCTATTAAATGTTTGATTTTGGGGAAATGCACATGATCACTTCACCTTTCAATTTTGATGATGCTGAAGTAAGAAGGCCAGGTGCTGACTGGCTTGGCATCCAGAGGTACCTCCACTTCTTGTCCCTCCAGATTATAGATGTACACAAGGTTGTCATTTTTGATCGCAAGACCAATGTAATTTTTCGCCTAAAAAACAATTGAGAAGGATGTTGGAGCTACAACATCGAAAGATTAATTCAGAAATGAGTAAAGGGTGGTCTTTGATAGACTAAATGACACCTTTAAATATAACTAATAAACAAAAGCTTCATTCTTTAATTGCTTTCTTTCACCAGACAAAACTGTATAGAAGAAGTCTCTCATGTTTTACTTTATATCCCTTTTGACTGAGGTAAATACAAGGTCATGAGATGTCTTCTGACCGTAAGTTGGTCTTGTTGAACGGGAATCTCTTCCATCACTATTTAGTGTGCAGTGTCACATGCAGGAAATAGGAAGAAACATTTGTCTAAAGCTTAAGTATTATGCTACAATTAAATATTTTGACAAGAAGGGTTTCACTTGATTTGTATTCAGTAGACATTCCTTTTAGAAAAGCTTAAAAGAAAAGCCTGGCTCTTTACCCTTCCCTAGTAACATCTTGCCAGGATTGTACCTGGCTAGTGAGGTGTGATTTTTTCCCTTAGGAATCACAATTTAAAAGACAATTATTTCACAACACTTGCAGCTGGTGAGAATATATGCCCTTCCTAGGTGTTTCAAAGTAGTGCTGTACAAAGTATACAATAGCAGCACAAGCCACAGACAAAGAAACTGGCTTATCCTATGGTCCTGTGATCTCAGAGATTTGGAACTGACACTGTCAGCAGCATAAACCTGATTAAAATGTGGCCAACAAAAGCCAGGTGGGTGACATTGTTTACTTCAGAGCACCTCAGTATTGGCAGTGGAGAGAGCAAGTGTGGCTTGCAGTAGTGACAGTCACAGCAGCATGCTGTAGTCTAATATGCTTCTTAGATAGAACCCTTCATTGTTTGGGGTTAGAAGTATCAAGGACAGGGGCCTTGGGAACCCTTGCTCTTTGCTTGTCACAAACTAAATGACTATCTAAGTAGACACCTCTTATTTTGAAACATGAAGAAACAGTGAGAGGGAAAAAAAAAGGCAAATAAACTTCAAACCCACTCAAATTTTTATATATACATATATATCAAAATGAACTGGGTTAGTTTCTTACATTTTTGTTTCCAAGGTACAAAATAAATCTGTCTGGAGATGCTGCCAGTTGTGGGTTGTCTTTCTGAATCTTTATGTACAAGCTCATTGAAGTGAAAGATTTGAGTTCCTCCATGTTGATCTTTGGATTGACTTCAACAGCTGATTGGCCTCCAAACATCATGGAAACTTGGACCTGCAGTTGCAAGTGTGCTAAGTGAGTCACATTATTGCTGCCTGGGGACAATACTTAAGGTAAACATGCAAGACTACTTAGCCAGCAGCCTTGCTTGCTGCAAGAGCAGAGTTGGCACCTGTATATTGGCCATGCGAAACTGCACGTTTATAACAATCACTTCTGGAAAATGATATAAAGAAGATGAAGGGAATTAATTTTAAAATTAATTAAAGCTTCTAATTAACTGTGGTTGAGCATATTCATAAAGTAAATTAAATTTCAGTGGGACATAAATGTGTACTTAGTTGAATCAGGGCTCCATCATTATTTATGGCACATCATGAAATTCTTACACAGCTATAAAAAGTCTACCCATAATTTATGTCTTTGCTTTGGGAATAGTATGACCAATTTTCTGTTCATGAATAATACTGTTATATTACTGAAGCTATGTTGATATATATGAGATGCTAATAAAATTTTAAACCATGTTCATTTTAGTTCAAAATGACTTCAAGATAACTGAAATAACATTTTCAAGTTTAATCATAATACACCTGAACAACAAAATACATTTAAAGAACATTCAAGCACTGTGCATATACTGATTCTTCTTTTTCTTTTTGGAAGTAATGTATGTGGGTAGCATATTCCAGCACTGTGAACATACAATGGTGCACTGAATTTTTGTTTTCTTTGAATGAATTCAAATATACAGTTTTAATTTTTGACACAGTATTCATGTTATAGAAAAATCCCTCATAATTTATTTTTTCGCTGTTAAATATGTGTGTGCCAAAGATTCTCTTATCCTGCAGAAAAGTAATAGAACAGAAAAAGAAAGAAATACTGAAATCTCAGAAAGGTTTGCATTAAATTGCCATAATTACTACTACTAGTAACTACTGTTGCCAGCTGAATAATGACCTATTTGTTTCAGCTTTAAATGGCTTTGCTGTTGTGGCCATCTTTAACACTGTGCCAATTACTTAAAGTCACTGCTGCCATGGCAGTGGCCTACCATAAATATCATGGTAATGTTAATTTCTTGCAAATAGCAACTGTAAAGAATTTAATAACTTCCAAGGTACTTTGTTGGGTACAAGGTACAGTTGTTGGGGGGTGATAATGTCAAGGTTTGGGCTTCTAACACAGATCAAGGAAATGGAGCTTCTAGTAAGATGCATTTGATTATTAACACTAGTAACCAAAAGTTCCATCAGAGGTTTTACCTTGCTTGCTACACTCCTGGTTTGAGCAATTAACTCTCTGATCCGCTGAATGCTGGAAGAAATATTATTTGCTGGTGCCTTCTGTTCTACTCTGTGCAATTTGTCCAGGAGTTGAGGGAAGACTTCTGTAAGTTTCTTCACTGCAGTTAGAAAAGAAATGACAACATATTTGTTTTCATCTTGGTAACCCTGGTTTTACACCAGGAAGATTCCTCCTTACCCTTTTAGGTTTTCTTACCTATCTTCTTCTGCTTTAAGAAAAAGTCCTAACTGTGGTAGGTGAGAAGCTGTGATTTCAGAAGGTGTAGTCATTTGTCAGAATCTAGTATTCCAAAACTTTTTGGAAAGGAGCTGAAAACAAGGGAACTACTTTTTCGTGGGACTCTTAGATTCAGCCGCAGTGTTGTACCTCTGTAATACTTTCCTCAAGCAGCTTTGCAAATGTTAATCACTTTAACCTTTTCATCTTCCTTCAAGGCAAGTAAATGTTAAACTAAATTTTACAGATATGGCAACTGGAGCAGAAGGATTACTTGTTCAGCATCTCACTGGATATCTGTGGCTGACCTGGGAACTGTATCTAAGCCCTATGGTTCATGAGTTCTTCAAATTTATTTTACAGGAGATGTAGAGGTTGTTTCCCGCAGTTCTCAGTTGTGCATCTCTCCCAGAGGTTATGACCCAGATAGCAGCAACGGCTGCACACAGGCGATGTGTCAGCATGTGCTTCACAGCCCACTCTCCTGACAGAAGCACCACAGCTTTCAGACCGTGGGAGCAGGCTTGTACTGCACAATAGTAGAAAACCTTGGCTAATGATGCATGTGCACCTAAACTGTGCTTACTACCTGCCCCAGCCCTTGTGAGCGGTAACCTCTTCATCTTTCCTGCCTACATCTGCCAGGGGTCATGAATAAAAGTCATGGACCTTTGGTCTTTCACTGCTGTGTCTTCTGGTACATGTGCAAGTAGGATTGCTATCAAAGGGAAATGCAGGTGCTTTGTTCTGTTCAAAGGAAGTCCTTTCCCAGAAAGATAAGCAGACAGAAAATTTACCAAGAAAGAAAAAGAACTACCCCTAATTATAATCCAATTTCATCGTATCACATTCCAATAACATGCTGCCCTTTGAAGGGTATTTACACATCACATCATTTTTCATCTTTAATTGCATGTAGGTACAACTAGCTGAATATAATGAAATGTGATTTTAGCCACAAGCCACATGCATGTAAGAAGGATCCAGTATTCATAGTTAATTTTTAACGACATGGATTCACTATAAAGGTTAAGACCAGATTTGTAGGGTTTGAATTTATATTTTAGGACTTGTCGACTTGCATCTATGTGCTCTTGTCTCCTTGCCCTCACATTTTTGCTCTTGTCTGAGAAGACAGCAGAGAGGCAGATAGATAGAGGAGGTAATCCTCAGATGTACTGAGATTGTATAGAAGGGAAAGAAAGAAGAGTAGCCTCCAATCTGTGCTTTTCTGTGCGTCCAGTTCTGTCTAAAGGCTGAAGCAGCTCTCAGGCTTATTCAGAGCAACCCAGAGTATGAGAAGATCCCGTGGAGTCCTACAAGTCCTGCTTCTCTTTGGATAGAGTGGAAAGCTGTATTTGCCACAGTCCTGCCCCTCTCTGCTTGACTCTTTTCTCTTGTGTTTTCCTTTCCAAGTCCAGTCTAGGAGTGGGCTGCATAGCACATTAGACTCTCCAGTTGTTCCCATAAAGGCCTAGACTTCATGTGCTGTGGGTTAATAGTCAGATATTCTATATAAAGCTTACTGTACATATAAATGATATGATGTTAGCAAATCCTCAAAGAACTACAAGGAATTCTGGATAACACTTTAATTCCAGAATGCAATAAAATTTCTATTTAAAAATCCCTTAGTATAATAATCAATCTACAGAAAGTTTTCTCTGCCTTTTGAAACAAATGTTATGTTGCATTGGTAAAAAGCCCACATTATTCTTAAAGTAAAAAAATTCAAGCTCAGAAAGCAATTTAGCAAATTTCAAACACCTTTTTTGAAAATAATCAGCAATTGCATTGGAATTGTGTCTGTTCTGATATCTTGAAAATGGATGCCAATCATATCTACTTTTACATTATCATAAATGGAAGTTAGAGTCCACAGTCTAACCTGTGCTGTATGGTGATCGAAACCATTTTATAGCAATCCAATACAACAACTTTTATAATAACTACATGCTTATGGAGCTCTGTGCAGTGACTAGCAGTGAGCTTACCCATTCCAAGAGGGAGTGACTCAGTGTTGCCTTTGGATGAAAATCTCAGAAAAATGTTAGTTGCCGCCAGTTCTGGAGCCACAAGTCAGGATATTGAATTATACTGAATTACTTCTTGAGGGAACCGTGTTTATACCAGTTCTTGGGAGCAGTCACTTAGCTGAAATGACTTAGAGGCTTTAGATCTTAAGTGTCTAAGTCATTTTTGGAAACACCTAAGTATCCAATAGTTTTTAAGTATAGTCAAGTCTCTAGACCACTGGAATAGGAAAATTTGAGTCACCATACCTGCATCCCCAGCTGAATGGACAGCGCTGTCATATGCTGCTGAGTTGTGCTGGAAGTCTTGCAGGTTTTGAGACCACAACCTCACATTCTCATCCATGGGGGTTGTAGCCTGTGTTACTGTCACGGTAGCACTTAAGGCCTCTTCAGTCTTCTGTTTAGCTTGCTCCAAACGCTCTCTGGCCTCCACTACAAAATAAATAGGGGGTGAGAAGAAATGTACACTTTCAAAGATTCCAAAGAACTATAACCATTACTTAGGAAATGGTGAGGCTATTTTATCTTCTGCAGAAGGGGGATTCAAGCTTGCAAGGCTACTTTTCTCTTTATTTCCACAGGGTATATTCAAAAATTCCTGTGGTTGGTCTACAGTTATATTATTTCTTAAAATTTAACAAATTCTCATTTACATTCTAGATTGTTAGAAATTTTTAGCGTTCTTGAATATTGATGAGTGTTATATAGCCAAGGAAGTTGGAATAGAAATTAAAAAAAATATTGTTTTGCATCAAGTTTTTTAAAAAAATGCATTTGTTTGTTGAATATTTTTCATTAAAGTTATTTTTGAAGCCAAGAAATCCAAGATACTGGAATGGTTTTGCTTTTTCATACCAGGGATTTTGAGGATTTTTTGTTTGTTTGTTTGTTTTCAACTACTGTATTTATAAAACCCATGGCATTTTGCATATGATAATGTGTTGTCAGTAAAATCCAGCCAGTTTTAGTTGAAGTTAATAAAGAAATCTTTGCTATGTCAACTTTGAAAACCTTCAGATATACTTGCTGGATGATCTGTTTTCTGAAAAACTAAGGTGGGGTTTTGTCAATCAAGGCTGTCAGTGAATACCTCCCAAATACTCTAATTGCCAGGTGTGATGTATATGTGAATTAGATTTTGATGATTAATACAATAAATCCACAGACTTGCAGATTCTCCAAGCCATAAAAAGATCAAGAGTGACATGGGTAAGGACAATTGTAGTAAGAATGATCAAGAGGAATGTTAATAATTTCAGATGGCAAGACACATAATTCCATTCTGAATGTGTTAAAGCTGAATGTTTTCTATCTAGGTCTGGTAGTTTGAGTCAAATTCCTTCAGGCCTCCCTTGCACTGAAAACTTAATACCAACTTCATAACCATATGGAAAGATAAAATATGCTCTTAAATGTGTGAAGACAAAGATGAAGTTCTTACAACCTGGCTCTGCAGATTGCATTTTTGTGATGGCTCTCATCAGTTGGATTCGCAGAGCATTCATTCTGGCAAGAGTGCCATTAACATGCCGGCTAGTGTCTGCAATGGCTAAATTGTTACCTGTGGGAGAAAATAGAAGGTATAGTTGAGTGGCATCAAGGTGGCGTTTAAAAAGGTAAATGATGTCCTCTGGATGTATGTTATGAAGCATTTAATACATCATAGGCAGTATACTATGGCCTTTCTCGTATAAGGCACACTAACACTCTTGACTTCACATAATCTAAATAAAAAAGCAACCTTGCAGCTCCCAGCCATTATTTACTTGCCACAGGGTGTCAGAAAAAACTTGAGACCTGTGTTTCAGTCAGTACTATCTCTCTTTGCTTTACCAGATTGCTGAGAATAGCTGCAAAAAGTATACAGGAAAAGTTTTAAGGAACTCAAAAGGTCCTGGAAAGTTGAAGAGGTCATTTCTGTAATTTTAGGGCTTGCTTTCCTCTTCAATGAAAAAAAAAGAAAAGCCCAAATCCTGTAACATTTATTATTATCCTTTGCTATTGAAATCAAGCTTTCTGAACACTTAAATGGTTGTGAATGGATTTCAGTTGAACTACTTGATTGCTTATATTTACCTGTGAACAACTGTTTGCAGGATCATATATTCAAATAGTGGTTGCATCTGAAATGGTCCGTTTGTAATGAAATAAACTTTGAACATCTGGCAGGATGACAACACATGAACTACTCAAACTGGGCCGGTGGCCACCTCAAGTACTTTGTGGGGTAACTTCGATCAATACGCTAGGCTGTTACAGCAGTAGTTCTGCCTTAGTGATGTGCTTTTGAAATTTATTTTAATGTGCATGCATAACTGACTGGGAAAGTAGAAAGGACGTATATTTACTGTCATCTGCTGTCCGCTGTAGCTCCATGGCTTGGTTGAGAAGTCCTTCGCTTTTACCTTTATGATAAATGATTTGAGTATCGATTCCAACTGCAGCCTACAAGTATGTTCCAAAAAAGAAAGTCAGAATAATGCTTATCAAATGTTCCTCTTTATTGTGTTTAATTGCGGACAACGTATTACCTCATATAAATGCAACTGTAAAGTCACTGTAGTTGCATTTGCTCTGTTAACATTAAGTCCAGCAGTTGGATTGGGAAAAAAAGTCTGAAAAGCAAAACTTTCTGTAGATTGCAATTAAAAGGTTAGAGATATGTATGCTTCTCCAGACAACACCACTGAATATCAAAGTTGCAGAAGGCACAGAAGTCCTCTTTCTCAACTCCAGCATGGTCAACATGATACTCAAGCTACATGTTAGTTGGGCGCTGTGACTGTTCACTTCTGCTCCCATCTCAGATGGGTGCTGAACACTTGCACTGCATGGGAGCCTGTCTTGCAGTCCCCAGTGACTTGCTGGAAGCAGAGGGCTGGACTCAAAATCCCACAGCTCTCTGGGATCCAGCCCCCTGTGATCTAACCAAATCCTCTTGCTATCCTCCTAACAAATTGCTGTTAAGTAGCATGTGTATAGGTTGCAAACTATGTGCATACAAAAGTATATATAAAATGTGCCAGAACATCAAGGCCAGTGACCAAATTAGCATCCTGATCCCTTCACTGAATGTGTGTGTGGACTATTTGCCCAATTTTAACTTGATTTTCTATGAGAAACAGTGATGATTCTGTTCAATGTCTTGACCACCCTTCCTGATGCATGGTGCAGTGTGTAGTAGAAGGACTTAGCACAAAATACCAGCTCAGGTTCTTAAAGGACCAGGGAGTTGTCTAAACTGTCACAGCACTACCTCAGTTTGAGTGACAGCACAGAGCAGCATCACCCTATGTTTAGGGACAGAAGAATCTGTGGTGTCTGTTTGTTAGGCTGGCAGAATAACTAACCACCTAGGATTTAATTCAGCAAACAGTAGATAAAGCAAAATGTGCAGTGAGAAGTTCAACGCTGAAAGTTAATCTGGATCTAGTTTTTCCTTTATACCGAGGTGTGTGGAGCATTGCAAGGTAAAAGCTGATATGAAAATTACTTACATCATTGACCCGGTTTGTTGTGTTCAGTGCCAGCAGTGCAGCTGTATTAGCTTCTTCAATGTAGCCAACAATGTTGTCATACACATTTGAAGCATTTATTGCCCTTTGTACCAAACCATTTGTATCAATACCATACAGATTCCTGTTAAAGAGGGAGTAAAAGGAGGAAGAAACCAAACTTAACCCAGGTAGTTTCAAATTGATTAATTTTTTTAACAATATGTGAATTCTGACCACATAATCACACACATAAATATCATTGGTCTACGTAGTGTTCTCTTCATTGTGTGTGGCCATTTATATCAATCTGAAGCAGGTGAAAACTATGTGGATGGAAGGTACTTCGCAGTTGTTTAATTCTGGGAATTTTACCCTTTTCATCTGTATGAGCAGCAAACAATGACTACTGAGCTTTTATGATCTTTTAAATCTACACAAATTAACAGAATAATACATCTTTCATTTGTCCTTTTTTAGGGATAACTCCTCGCCATGACTGGACTTGAAGATCTTAGAGGTCTTTTCCAACCTTAATGATTCTATGATTCTGTGATTCTATAAATGGAAGGACCTGTGTGTGCCACTAACATCTTATCACTGGGCTGTTCATATTTTCCAAAAGTGAGTGAGAAAATGGGGAGGATCAGATGAGAACTGGCCCATGGTCATGAAACTTTTCAAAAAGTTAAATTTAAAAAACACAAGATAGCTTTGCTGTCATGGTAGAGCTTTATTTGCATATTAGGTGATAACTGGGCTTCAGGGGAGATTCCAAACAGGATTTGATTCCAGGTTCAATCTTCAGCTGTTAGGAACTTTGAATAAATATTATTTTTTAGTATTTTTGTGATAAACAGATTTCAGAGTGTATATTAGATATAGACTCTAAGAAAAAAAAAATCTGTTTTCACAGGTGTGTATATTCACTTTGAAGTATTTACACACTCAGGGATTTTTAAGTTTCCAGACTTAGTGTTGCAAGAATTTCCTGCTATATTCCCCTAAGACAAAAGAAGAAACTCTACCAAATAAAAGCCTAACAGGCTTATAAAGCAAGCCCATAAAACTGAAATGATTTGAAGACACACTGAATGTTTTAAAGGATTAAGGTTTCACTGCAGGACAATCTTCTCAACAAATAAAAGAGTCAGCACATCTCCATCTGGGTATTCCACAATTATTTCTGTTTGCTTTCTGTTAAATTCCTAATGTGTTGGACTTGCTAGTAATTTTAATATTATTTTGGTAAGGGATGAACGTTAGCCATATGGGCTAAATTAAAAAAAATACATGGGGTATTTTCTTTCAAGGGATTCTGCTGCCCCCAGTTAGCTGATCTCAGATTGAACATATTGTTTGTTTTTTATCTTGTCTGTAGCTCATATGGCACTATAGAACAGAGTTTCAATTGTCAGCTTTATACAATTGTATAAAAGAAAACCATCTGTTATTTTTTTCTCTGTTTTAATCTCCTATCTAGGGCGTATTAATATTAAGAGACAATTGTTATTTAGATAATATAATTGAAGAGTACTTTTAAGTTTAGTTTCCAAAAGCATACATCCATGATGGTAGAATTATAAGGTAGAATTTGGTGACATATTCTATTTAAGAATTAATTTGCAGCAGTAATTTTTCTATTACAAATAGTCATGTTTCAAATCTATCTAGAAGTGACTTTTTAGTAAACTGGGGTAAAGTTGATGCATTTAGTATCCTCCAGCAAAACAGGAAGACTTATTCTAAATTTTTGGTCTTACAATGGGGCAGTTTCACTGGGACACAACCTATCAGAACGACTCCATTTGTAAAACTGTTCTTGAACAAAAACTATCCCAAAGCCTATTTTGTGGCTAATAATGCTAAACATTTTTTGATGTAGATGAACTTACTGACATGAGCTGTCTCTGCAAACCCCATTTAATCAGCCTGTATAATTTTGCTTTTCAGTAATCTACCCTTCCTGTTCTCTTATGATGGGAAGAGAGGAACATGCCAGATTAGAAAAGGGAGAATGTCATGCAAGATGTAAGTTTATTTTTTGAAAAGATTAATAGATTTTGCTTAGCTCAACTTCAGCTGCTCGTGATGGACCATGACAAGTCCTTCCATGCATGATTTAACAGTGATTTGTTTAATGCCTATTTACAGACGGCATATTTGGTGTCCCTGTGTTTCTACTCGTCTTTTAGTTCGTTCAGCAGTTCAGTCAGCAGCACTTGTATGAACAAAGTTTGATGAAGTTTAATTTTACCGGTCCAGCTCATCAGCAAGTCTTCTTAGGTTGTGTGCATGATGCATAGCCTTTTCTACCAAATCTTCATCAAACAGAGACAGATTGGCTAGTTTTTCTTGCAATTCCTTTTTTGCTCCATCTATTTCTGCATAGAACCCTGACACATTCTGAGTAAAATATGGAAGGAAAGAAGATGATAATTGTAAGAAATCAAGTCTGTATTTTGATTATGTTCTATTTTACCAATTATATTTTCATGTTGTTTTCTGTTATATTTGTAACAGATCAAAAAGAGGAAAGATCTAAAAAAGTCTGTCCTGTGAATATCAGTATGGCAAGACAAATGCAGGAAGATAAATATCAAACAAAATTCCAGGAATCCCTTAAAAAGATAGAGATGTATATGTAAAATACAAAAGAAAGACAGTTGAGAAATGTCTTATTATCTTTGATGTTTGCTCCAGAATGGTGCCAGTGACAAGCCTTTCAGAGTGAATTGCTAATAGGTGAGGGAATTAAACCACATATTTGCAAAAACCTTCTTTTTGTGCTTCTTCCTAAATTGGGAGTTGGAAACCATATATTTTAATTTTGAAGACTGCAGGCCAGAAATTAGTTTTTGGGACTTCTGAATTATACCTATACAAGTAAACTAAATAGTGCTGTGGTGTTTGGGCTTATGCATCATCCTGTTATTGCGTGGGCCCTGGCACTTTTCTGTCCCTGGCCAGCTTCCACTCTTCCAAACCTGCCTCTCTGGGGGATAAATAGCATGGGACAGTGCCTTTGCCCCAGGTGCAATTTAGCAATTGCTGGAGATGGGCAGAGGTCTTAGCTGTATGGCTGTGACCTGTGGCACATCATGGAAAATGAGCCCTGTCCCCATTCTGTCTCCTTGCACGGCATCCCTCATGCTTAAACATCTTGGGTAAGTGTGATTTGTAAATCAGTCCACCTAAATACTACCCATATGCATGTATAAACAAGGAGAAGTAATATCCCTTTGCCTTACCCACACTTCTTCCTTATATGAAGTACTTGTGTGGAAGACCAAATGGGCCTGCATTTACCTTCTCTCCAGTACATAAGCTTGCTAATATGTCTGAGGATTATAAATGTGGCCTCAAAATACACAAAGAAAGGATGGAACAGAGGGAGTGAAAAAGAATGAATGAGTGAAGTGTGAAAGTACTTATTGCTGATGAGGATGGAAGATGTATGATGTTCATACACTACTTCCTTCCCTGCAGTGTGAACATCCCCTGGGTGTTAACTTATCCATAGGAGTAGGGCACTCAATCTGATAAAGTGCAGCAATTTGTTTTGCAAAAAATACAGGAGAAAAAAAATTCATGCTGCTTGATCACCCAGGGGCGGTTATAAAGCAAGCTGTCTTCTTTTTGTTTCCTGAAATTACTTTTTCAAAGAAAAATTAATGACTTTTGGTATTTGCTTTAAAAAAAAGAAGTGGGCAACTATGACCTAAATGAATGTTTGTGGAGAATTTTGTCATCTAGGAAGACTTCCACTTTTTTTTTTGGGGGGGGGGGGGGCAGGGGATAATGTTCATCAGTATTTCATTGAAGAAGTATAAAAAGGGAGAGTTTTTTATTTAGTGGTCTAAACACACAACTTAAATGTTTAAAAAAAATCAGGGCATATAATTTAAACAAGTCACTGAGGCACCTACCTTTATTACCTCACTTAACTCAGAGTTGACCCTTTGTGGTCCTGCCAAAATAGTTGTGGCACTTAGCAGAATGCCATTCACTTCATCTATTTGATTGTTTATTTTCTCTTGTTGTTTCTACAAAAAATAAAATAAAATCACATCCAAAACTGTCTGGGAATTGCTGAAATACAGTGGTAACATCTTTTTAAAAATTATTAAAGTTAATTCAGAAGTTAAAGTGACTAAATAGATTTTAGATAATTTTGAAGTCTAAGTTTTTTTCCAGGCATCTCTAATAGCTGCACATTATAATGTGACTCTTTGCATTTTCTTGTGTTTGTGGAAATGCTGAGTTTTAAAAAATGTATTAATATAATTTTATATTACAGCATGAACAATTATTGGAATTAAGCATTATTCAGTGCACTGCCAGCAGAGAAAAATTAAGCATAGCTTCTTCATAGTGGTGTGGAGACTATTTTATTTTTTCCTGAAGGTTTTTTAAATCTACAGTACAGAGATCTATTTTCCTTATCAATAGTACAACTAATGTGAACAATTTATTTTGTACATCATCTGCCTTCATTGCGAGGAATAATGAAGATCCAACTGGTTAAAAACAGTGAACAATTGCAGCTACACACTTTAGGCTTTGCTTCCTAAATGTGAGATGAGCTGCAGCTTGGCATTGTAATTATGAAACAATGGAACAACAGAAGAGGCTTTGTACGCAAGGATGCCAAGCTGCTTGTAGAAGAATTCACGAGAACAGCATGTCTGATTTCTCTATTGAATTATTAGACTTTCCACATCAGCATGATCTTCTAAAGTGCTGCACATTTCAAGAGCTCAAAACTCAGCCACTGATGCTATGAAACCCATAGTTTGGCCTGTATTTTCAAGATAGTTCTTCAAATAGCAAAACTGTTCACTAAACCCCTCTCTTCCAGAATCCAAACAATTTCAGCCATTGAAGTGAAAAAGTTTGCTTCAAATGGTCCCAAATTGTTCTCTTTGTCATTTTCTCCCTTACTGAAAAATAAATGAAAAGTTTTAGGTGAGACATTGTGGTTTTGAATCCCTTTAAGGGGTACTAAAGAAAGCAGAGTAAGAATCACATAACTGATGGGAGGAGAAAAAGTAGATTTATTTTTTTTTTTGCATGGCTGATGGATTGGCTACTTTTCTGAACTACGAGATCTCAAAATACAATTTCCTTATCAGCCAGATGTGATTTGAACCTAATACCACCACTTTCAGGCAAACATGCCCCTCTTCTGTGCTGTAGGGGATAGATGTCCTCTGAGTTCTCTGGAGTGATTACTTTGTTCAAAATAGTGAAACTATTAATTTGAACAGAGTATAAGAGAAACCTACTCTATCCTTATAGCTAGGCTGTTCACCCAGTAAGTAGGAAACCCAGTTTCAAGGTATCTGTTGTGGGGCACTTAGAAAATGGATTTGTGCTTGAAGATCCAAGGACAATCATCTGTTCTTCCTGCAAAAATGGGCATGGATTTTGCTTAAAGAAGACCAGGGAGAAAGTTTGGATACGACAGTATGACTCAGTCCAAAGCAG